TATGGCAGAAAGTGCAGAACTCCATTGAATTGGATTGAGCCCGGTGAAAGGAGATATTTTGGTATTGATTTTGTCAATGAAGCCGAAGAACAAGTACGTATCATCCAACAACACATGAAGGCAGCTCAATCAAGACAGAAAAGTTATGCCGATAGAAGAAGAAGACCACTAACTTTTGAAGTAGGTGACTATGTGTACTTGAGAGTATCACCCATGAAAGGCGTGAAAAGATTTGGGATGAAAAAGAAGCTTTCACCAAGATATGTAGGGCCATACAAAATTTTGGAACGAAAAGGGAAGGTTGCATATAAGTTACAACTTCCACCAGAGATGAGTGCAATCTTTGATGTGTTCCATGTTTCGCAGCTAAAGAAATGTCTTCGAGTACCGGAAGGAGCTATTGCACCCACCAACGTGCAGCTTCAATCGGATTTGACCTATGAAGAAAAGCCAATTCGAGTGTTAGAAGAGATGGAGAGAGTAACAAGGAGTAAGATTATTAAGTTCTATAAGGTGGTGTGGAACAATCATAGTGAACAAGATGCTACATGGGAAAGAGAAGATTATCTGCAAGAAGTTTATCCCGCCTTTTTCCAAGAATGGTAGGTCTTGCAAATCTCGGGACGAGATTTTTATAAGGGGGAGGGGCTGTAACACCTCGGGTGTTAGCCTTGCATAACTTGACTTGCATAACATAAGCATGAGCATCAAGCATTCATAAATCATCATTTACAATTGAAACATTCGATCGAAACATATGAAACATTGCTTGTTATCTCGTATTTCTTGGAACATATGCATATGATCATGTGCAAACAAATGCTAGTGTGTAATGTTGGTCACTATAACACCTTAGCTACACTTAGGTTAACAAAAGGAACCTTGTTCATGAAGACCACATTTCTTGATCAAGCATTTAAGTGTTATTTCATGTGTTGACCTGAATGGCTATATGTGTGACTACTTCATAGAATGCTTGAATGACCTTGCAAATTGTTTTAACATGCTTAGAGTATCATCATGAACAACTTTGGTATTTAGTGCTAAGGCTAGTTTGGTCATTTAGCCCTGGTTTGTGTATGTATCATGATTTCAAAGTGACATGTATTCTTATAAATTGGTAGGTTCTGCGACAGCTGGCATCAGAGCAAGATTCAACGTTAATTGTCACAGGTGTATTTAAAACAAAAGTGTTTGTTTTCCGAAAACCCTTCTCTAGCAACTAATAGTTATATAATAGGTATTTGAAATCTAAAGTGTGCCAATGATCACTTTCCTTATGCCCAAATTAAGGACTATTAGGTGGCTATTTAAGTACTAACATGGGGGTTTTTACTTCGTCGTCCATACGGCGTGCTATTGTATGGATGCCATTCACTTGAATGGTAATGTATGGATCAAATGCCTCTACGCCAAGGTAGCCTTAGCACTAAATACCAAAGTTGTTCATGATGATACTCTAAGCATGTTAAAACAATTTGCAAGGTCATTCAAGCATTCTATGAAGTAGTCACACATATAGCCATTCAGGTCAACACATGAAATAACACTTAAATGCTTGATCAAGAAATGTGGTCTTCATGAACAAGGTTCCTTTTGTTAACCTAAGTGTAGCTAAGGTGTTATAGTGACCAACATTACACACTAGCATTTGTTTGCACATGATCATATGCATATGTTCCAAGAAATACGAGATAACAAGCAATGTTTCATATGTTTCGATCGAATGTTTCAATTGTAAATGATGATTTATGAATGCTTGATGCTCATGCTTATGTTATGCAAGTCAAGTTATGCAAGGCTAACACCCGAGGTGTTACATTGTCGTCCCATTGTTCTTCTTCACCTTCTTCCATTACAACGCTGGTTTCTCCGTGCTTCGTCCAACAAATATAGTTTGGCATGAAACCCGACTTGAACAAGTGTGAATGAAGAGTCCTTGAGCAAGGATATTCTACCGTATTCTTACATATGGCACATGGGCAGCACATGAAACCGTCGCGTTTGTTTGCCTCGGCCGCACGTAACAAAGAATGCACGCCGTCAATGAACTCTTGGGAGCGGCGATCAGCATTGTACATCCAATGCCGACTCATCTGCATTACATGACATAAATACCATATTAAAACCTAGATCATAATTAATTATTTATACAACATGTGTGCCACCACAAAAGGTACAAATTTATGAAAGCATCGCTACAATGTAGACAATCCCAACTACCACTAAAAGAACTAAAGCTAAAATACATTTCAGGAGCACAAGGATTTTGCGACTAATCTCAACTAAAACAGACAGATCCCCCGATTGTGCAACATCTTTGGGCTTCTTCGGCTGGATTATTGCCTCATTAGTCGCCGTATCTGCCTGTTGTGCAAGATATTTTTGCACGAGTTCAACATACTCTTCCTCTCAGTAGAAGCCTGAACATCGTCCACTGCCATCCCACTGAAATTAAAACAAAAAATTAGAACTTTAATCACAACCATCATGAAAATAGGTATAAACTAACCATAATCATTAAATACGATAAAATAACTCACATTGCGATCCGGACATTTGTAGAAGATACGATCCTTGTTGGGACCCTCCTTCTTCACTCGGTACTCCATCATAATTTTCATCTCATCACGACACTTGCCGCATGGAATGAGAGGGAGGCCCGGCCTAAGTCGCTTTGGAAACCCATGAGAGGCCGAGGACCCGGAAGCAATTGCCATCTACTCTCTATACTCATTTTTTAATACACTATAAATTTCTCATTTTATAAACAAATAAAATTAAGAAACTATAAAATTATCTATATCTCAAAAACATGTTTTAATAAATAACCATCCGTACTAGTTGACCTTGCTTACGTGATCATCTCGGCGAGCATTTTTTCACCGGACGGCACCGTACTTGGCCACGGAAGAGCTCCGATTCTACGAGGAAGGAAACACGGTCTTCCACGACCGTTGCCGCTCTCTCTCGTAGAATCAAAGCTCCTCCTTAACGTCCGTTACCGCTCGACAGAGAACATGCTCGCCGAGATGAACACGGTCCGCAAGTTCAACTAGCTACTTTAACCTTCTTTCATGTAAATATGCAAGCTTGAAGTGATTTTGAGCTCAAATTGCTTACAAATGAAAAAAACCACAATAAAGAACCATATATATATATATAGTGAACAAAATGAGATAAGACAATGGTGAAAAATGAGAGTATGAGATTGGTAACCTTTACAACTGAAGAATCGACGGAGGAATCGAAGAAATCAACGGAGGAATCGAAGAATGGATGGAGGAACAATGGAGGGAGGGAGGAAGCAAGAACACTAGTGCAGTGAGCTTCAAAATGTGCTGAGCTCGGGCTCGGGGAGGAAAAAGGAGACGGCCGGGATATAAAGGGGACCCTTTAGTCCCGGTTGGTGGCTCCAACCGGGACTAAAGGTAACTTTCCAACCCCGGCGCAGCCACGGCCTTGAGTAGACCTTTACTCCCGGTTGGAGCCACCAACCGGGTAGTAAAGTATATTTTAGTCTCGGTTGGTGGCTCCAACCGGGACTAAAGGTCCCTGCCACCTCTGCCTGGCGCAGTAGCTGTTGGGCAGGGACCTTTAGTCCCGGTTGGAGCCACCAACCGGGACTAAAGGTATCTCTAGTCCCGGGCGCAAAAAATGCCGGGACTAGAGCCCATTTTGGCCGAGGATCAAAGGTCTGTTCTCTACTAGTGAAGTGTTAGCATTTGATCAACATATCTAGTTTGGAAATAGTTAAACTCTTCACGATCAAAAGTTTACTTCATCTCAAATAGGCTCATGTGAGGAGTTGCCTCAACGGCTCAAATAAACTGACTGAATCATCTCGACCTCTTGATGAGTACTTATCCCACAATTATACTGTGTTCTAGGCTGATAGCTCGCACAGTGGACTGAGTGGAGTAATGGAGGATCCGGTCATATTGGCATCTGGATATGTAAGTGCCCACCTCTGAACATTTAGTTGGCTAAACATAATTGCATTGCGATTCATCATTTTCGCTTTTCATGACTCATTTTAGCTGGAAACATCCTGATAAATAAATGATACTAGATGTGGGGATAGATGTTGTTATTTAACTTGATTGCACTATCCAACTCTGTCTGTGATGTAAATATCTAATAACCAAAACTAGAATTAGACTTCAAACTTGTTATTTGACTTGGTTAGTAACATAGAAACCAATCTGTTTTGATACAAGACGTGTTGCTTTTAGTTGGAGATTTGGAAAAAAATGAAGTGATTAAGGAGTTCTATGGCAATTCAATTTTCTGGTGTAGTCCATGCATACACTTTTTTTTGAGAACAAGGCATCTCCACTGCTTCCTCACTGACTGAAATGGAAAACCTGTTGTTGCATTCTAGTATGGTAGTGCACCAGGGCACCCTGCTTATTCACCACTTTGTAGGCATCTACTCCCTCCGTCCTTAAATAACTGTCGCTTTTGGTTTCCGTGCCGTAAGTTGGACTAGATTTATAGAAAATGCGTGCAACATTTGTATCTCCAAATAAATCTATTATGAAAATAGATTCAATGATCTATATAATGATATTAATTTTGTACCATAAATATTATTATTTTTTTATATATATTTTGTCAAAGTTGTTTCTCGGGAAGCGAAAACGAGGGAATACCTATCATGCACTTCCTATTCTCAGTTTGATGCAGATTATAATTTACTGCTTGTTTGTGACTGTTTTTGTTTTTCAACGTGATGTATCGTGATCAGTCTCATGATATTATGATTAAAGAACTGTTCAAAATGATTATCCCTTTAACACATCTTGGGATGTTACTTGTGGTTCTTGTTGTTAGGGCATCTTGTTTCTGACAGTAGAAAAAACATGGCACTTATTTCTAACAAACTAAAATGAAAAATATGTCACGAGAGCTAAAGAAAGTTGTGGTCTTATGTCTTTTATTTCTATATGCGATTAGTAATTTTGTTACTTTCTGAAGTGTTGATGTTGTACATCGAGGAAAAGATTGGATATCTTTAGGGTTCCACTATAAGTTACATTACATCGAGGAAAAGGTGGTATCTTTTGTTCCAAACTCTTTGCTGTAGTATTCTATGTTAATTTCTGGAACAACTGGTTAGCTATCTTCTGAGTTTTCCCACTGATTAATTTCACCAAGTAAACCAATTTTTTTGCCTGATTACTTGCAGTCTGTTGATCAATTGTACCATCGGTTGTTCTGTTCACCGAACGTCTGTCCAAGTACTAAGGAGACTTTATCCCACACTTTGACTGCTCCAAACCACCTCCTCCGTGATATGATTGCTGCATGGCGTCTTGATCACATGGCCCGTTCCTCATCTAACAATGCTGATACACTCTCCATCCCTGTGGAACCTTCAGAGGAGCAAATCCAAGCTATCTTACAAAAATTCTCAGGGCATTCAGTGATGCAGGAGCAGGCTTTGCACGAGATTCAGCTACTCTCCAAAACAACCAAGGGAGAGCAACCTTGCCTTCACAAGTGTGCAGGGCTGCTTCCAGGGCTGATAGATCTTCAGAAGAATTGGAAGTCGACATGGTCACAGGAGCTGGAGGAACAGAGGCCCGGAGTAATCCTTAATTTGTCTGTTCACAGGCCAAACAGGGAGATCCTAGCTGGAGCGAACCAACTCCCTGTTCTTCTGAAGAAGATCATCCATAAGCTACATAAACATGGAAGTCCAGCATCACATTTGGCAAAGGTAGCTTCGATAGTTGCCATCCTGTCAGAGTTTGACATGTTTAGGAAAAGGGTACTCGATATTGGTGGGATGGAAATGCTCCGGGATCTGCTCAGGATTGAGGATGTTTTTGTAAGGAAGGAGGCTGTCACTGCAATCCGTGGACTCTGTGCAGATGAGGAAGGAAAGATAAATGCTCAATCTTATAACGTGCCTGATGCCCTGCTGGAATACCTCATGGTCAGTGACGAGGTGCTGCTTCTGCTTTGATTGTCTGCGAAAAAATCTGCACATGGTGGATAAGATGTGCGATAAAGCTATGGAACTGGTGAATATCATCATGGCTGAAGAGGGAACTCGGCCGGTTACTTCTGAGGCCACTTACTCTGCGATTTCCTTGGTTCATGCTATTGTGCAGAGAGACGTGCATAAGATGGAGCAGGTGAAGAACCTGGAGGACTTTAAGGAGCGGCTGAGGGAGCTGTCATCAGGTACATTACCGATGCAGACAATGTTAAAGGTGGACACGATAATCAACTGTCTGTCCAAGGAGTTTCCTGCTCCTGTAAATCCGTGATGCAAACGCAAAAAAAGCAATCCAGTGGAAGCTGTCTCCAGTCATGAATAGACTGAATCCTATAACTGCCCTTCCCGGTGTGGCCTCCCAAACAGTCAGAGATTTACTGTTGCTTCACTCGATTTTCTGTGCAAGTTTGAATTTTTGACTGTGATGGAAGTTTGGTGAATCATATGAACAATCAAGTGAAGTTTGTTGACACGCAAATAATCTTGCTTACTGCCTTGTTGACATTCTGTAATGAAGAATTTGCTTCAAGAAGACAATGATGACTGACCGAGAATATTAGAATATATATACTTGTGAAAAGCATTTCCTTGAATGTGATGAACAGAACAAATGACTAAATGAGATTGTTCTTTTACTCCTACTTCTACTTGTTTATATTCCTCCCTGTTTGTCATGTTTGGAAAGGGAAAAAAATAAATTCTTGGTTACTCCAATATTATGTTTTATTGTGTAATGCTGGATTTATTTACCATCGCATGTACTTTCAGGGCCTCTTTGGAACGCATGAATTTTACAGGAATTATATAGGAATTTCGCAGGAATTGTATAGGCATTTCACAGGTCATTTCCTTTTTTCACATGAAAAACACAAGAACGGGAAAGAATCTGGCGTTCCAAAGGGGGGCCTCACTATTTTGGGATTTGTGCTAGTACAAGAGAAAGCAAAGATGAAAAAATAATCAATCAAAATCTACGACCTCTGTAGTTACTGGTGGAAGAACCTTCCAATTAATTTGGTACTACGAGATTACTCGGAGAGGAATGGGGGGCATCATTATATTCTGGACGCATGCATGACGAATCGCTTGAATCATGGACTGATGATGAGGTTGGTGATGGCCGTGCACACGATTGCGATCTGCACGGCGTACGCGCTGCGCCGCGCCACGGGCTCCGGCGGCACGAGCCCGGCCTCGGCAAAGCCGCCGGTGCACCGGCGCACCAGCGAGTCGGCGTCGGCGGCCATCTGCTTCCCCGCCGTGTAGTTGAGCGCGTTGATCTCGTCGTAGGCCCCCGCGAAGGCGAGCTCCATGTCGTAGTAGAGCTGCTCGCACAGGCGCAGCGCGGCGCTGGTCCTGGCGTCCGGCGGCGGCTGCTTGGCGGCGAGCAGGGCCTCTATGTCGTTGACCGCGCCGCCGGCGCTGTTGACGCCGACGTTGGCCGCCACCTTGGCCAGGCCCGGGGTGTCCGCGCCCGGGCTGTCGCGGTGCTTGTTCAGCTCCGACACGCAGAAGTCGTAGTTCACGCGCCGGTCGCTGTTGGCCGCCGCCAGGCATGTCGCTACCATGGTCGCGTCGACGCCGGTGAGCCCATGGACGGCGGCCAGGGCTACTACCATCAGGAGAGCCCTCGACATGCTGTTGCCTAAATGGTTCGTTTCTGGATGATGAGATGAGGGAGGTGTAGCGAGGCGTTCCTACTTTATTTAGGGGTCACTGCATATGCCAATTTCGGTGGTTTGAAAATCCTATTTTAGGATACTGCTAGTCTATTAAAAGTCGTACTTTCCAAAGTCAGTCAAATTGTGGATAAATTGGACAGACGACTGCTAGTCTACTTTATTTAGTCTATTTCTAGTTTTTTTAATAGTTTTTTTCCTGTTTCTTCTGGCAGGATGAAAATAAAAAAAAGAAAGAGATTTTTTCCAGTGTGTCATTATAAAAGATCGCAATTCCCCGTGTGTCCCTGGAAAAATTCAGCGGTTTTCAGCGTCACTACTCCAACTTTTTCGTGTCCTCATGCCACTTCCGTCAGTTTGGACTCTAACGCCGTCAAACTGACTTTCCCCTGTGTGCCATTATAAAAGATTGCAATTCCCCGTTTGTCTCTGGAAAAATTCAGCGGTCTTCAACGTCACTACTCCAACTTTTTCGTGTCCTCCATGCCACTTCGGTCAGTTTGGACTCTAACGCCGTCAAACTGCAGATGTGAAAAGACGAAAATACCCTTAAGATTAAATATGTTATTAATTTTTTTGAGCATCTTAACGACTTCAAATGAAAAAACTCAAAACTAGAAAGTTGTAGATCTCGTCGAGATCTATAATTCTCATATAAAATATATTTTCATTTAATTCCGCAAAAAAATATGATTTGATATGATTAATATATCTTAGAAAAATCATCATTTTTTACGGAATTAAATAAAAATAAATTTTATATGAAAATTATAGATCTCGACGAGATCTACAACTTTCTAGTTTTGAGTTTTTTCATTTGAAGTCGTTAAGATGCTCAAAAAAAATTAATAACATATTTAGACTTAAGGGTATTTTCGTCTTTTCACACCTGCAGTTTGACGGCGTTAGAGCCCAAACTGACGGAAGTGGCATGGAGGACACGAAAAAGTTGAAGTAGTGGCGTTGAACACCGCTGAATTTTTCCAGGGGCACACAGATGATTGCGATCTTTTATAATGGCACACAGGGAAAAGTCTCAAAAAGAAAACACATCAACTGCTCTCCATTTATTCTAAATTATAAGACATTTTGACTTTTCTATATACATTTTTTACTACGCATCTAGACATAGTTTATCTCTAAATGCATTACAAAAGTTATGTATTTAGAAATGACAAAACATTTTATAATTTAAAATAGAGATAATTATCTCCTGATCTGTACTTACCATACAATTGCTAAGGACTGAATGGCTACGGAGTAGGGGATGGCTATTGCATCATGGAGCAAGGACTGAACGGCTACGAAGTAGAGGACTGAATGGCTACGGAGTGGAGGGAAGAAAGAAACAGCGATAGACCGTCTATACCTTTAATGCAGCCCTATAGCCTCACATTATGGGGGTGTTTGGGACTGCTCCACAAACTCTGCTCCACAAACTCCACCGTGGAGCAGCTCCACAAAAAACTGGAGTTTGTGGAGTACCTCTTTAGGTGCTCTCATAACTCCACCCTTTTTCCTGGAGCAGAGTGCATGGAGCTGAAACCGTTTGGCTAAAAAACGTGGAGCGGAGCTGAAAAACGTGGAGCGGAGCAGTCCCAAACACGCCCTATATATGTGCAAGTAATATTTACAGCAATAATGATAAAAGTACTCCATATTTATATGGACTGGCTACCAGGAATAAGCAACAGTATTTTTGAAGACGCTATACATAGAGGAATAGAAAATAGGCAACGGTTGAGAAGTTGTAGGGAGCCGTTGGGAGGTGGCCGTTTCCTGCATTCAGCATCCCAGCTCACGCGCCTATGCCGTTGTCTATTGATAGCTCCCAGCTCACGCACCTACAGCCTGTTCGGTTGGCTGGTTCGTATCATTGCTGGTTCGTTTATATGAGAGAGAAATACTGCTGGCTGGTTCACATGAACAATGTTCATATGAGAGGGCTGGTTAGCCCAGCCAGCCAGCCGCCTCTAGCCGAACGGGCTGCTAAGCCGTTGCCTGTGTGCATGCGCAGCATCCCATCTCTACAAAACAAAGAGAAGGCACATGAGATTGTATATCGCACATCTAAATTCTAGCAACTCATACATCCCTAAGAAAACAATTCTAAACCTCATAAATCAAGACTCCCCAAACTTCTTAGAATATTCTAGCCATAGCTCTCCTCCCCAACAATTCTCCAACCGTTTTTGCCAATCTCAATTTCCCCAGAGCTTCAACTCACGATATTTTTATAACTTCTATCCCTTTGGTGCTGAAAGGATCAAGACGTCCAAGAGGGGGAAGTGAATTGGACTAATCTAAAATTTCTCACAACAATTAAGTTCTACTGCTTAGCCCATTTCACCCATAGTGTCTAATTGTGTTCTCTATTTGTTCTACCGCGTAAAAGTTTCGCATCCTAGGTTCTAATCCTATTCTAACATGACAATTCTAAGAATGTAAAGACATGAAAGTAAATGCTAGAATGTAAATGCTCAAAGTAAAGAGAAAAAAGAAATACGGCGATGTTTTTCCGAGATATCGGAGAGTCGCCACTCTCCGCTAGTCCTTGTTGGAGCACTCACACAAGGGTGTAGCTCTCCCTCAATCCGCGCAAGGATTGAGTGCTCTCTACGGGCTGATTCTTTGACACTCTATAGCGGTGAATCGCCCACAACCGCTCACAAGACGACTTGGATCATCCACAATCACCACCGGATGATCACCAAGCTTTCAATCACCACCGAACCATCTAGGTGACGGCGATCACTAAGAGTAACAAGCACAAACTCTCACTTAACCATGACAAGCCTAATGAGAAAGGTGGATACATACTTGCTACTCCCTATGCACTAATGAGGTCCTTCATTTTGGATTATCAAATCTCAATCACCCTACTAGGCTCTTGCTCTCCCTTGCACTCTAAAGTGTTTCCTCAGCTGAATAAATGGGCAAGAGAGCCTCAATGCATGAGTTGGACATGTATTTATACACCCCACATCCAAACATACCCGGTGGGGTCTAAATTAGCAACTCACGAGGGCACCGAACGTGCCTGTCAGAGTGACCGGACGCTTCCTGTCAGAGTGACCGGACGCGTCCGGTCAGTGCCCAACGCCTACTGTGATGCTAGCACTAACAGGTAACGACTACTGTGACCGGACTAGGTCCGGTCACCCCCACCGGACACGTCCGCTCAACATTTTTACTTTCTAGAACCTCTCTGTTCCCGACCGAACTCGGGCGCGTCAGAGTCCGATCAGAACCTTGCCCGCGTCCGGTCTAGGCCGAGTGTAGACGTAGAGCCCTACCAGCTACAGTGGTAGAGTCGTGTCCGGTCAGGTACTTGTGCCCGTGTCCGATCAAGCACCCACTTGTAACAACCCAGGTTTTTCAATAACCAAAAATCTGAACTTAAATTTTTTTCTAACAAAACCCATATATGGTGAGTGTGCATACTAGAAAACCACCCATGTAGCTGCACAAGTATATCCCAAACTAGCATGTTTGAGCATTATGCATATTTAATTCAATTTGTGAGTTGCTTCTTCATGATTTTATGTGATGAAATAAATTCAACTCAACCTTTATAAATAACTTGTGTGTG